GTCCCATATATTATTCTGATACGAAATGTACCCCATTCCTCAGACCAATCGTCTTCTCCTTCTCCAACTTCTATGCCTGATTTCGCCACGTCTTCATCTTTCTCGTTGCAATTTTCAAAGCCTTCTCATCACAACTACACTATTGGTAGGATATACTTCCATTCCATTTTGGTTATCTATTAATTATTCTTATCTAGGATATACTACTATAGTATATGTTATATATGTATGAATGAATTTTACAACATAATAATATTTCCTTATTATTTTAAGAGCCATTAAATTGTGGAGGAACTACATTGGACTCACTTCCTCTTCTTCCTTAGTAACCAACACACTGACACACACAAAACGTTCAGTTCTTTCACTGGCAATGTCATTGTCTCGTATTGTTGTTTCTGTTCTTCTGGGGCTTCTTGTGTGCTTCCCATTTTCTTGTTCCCTGGAAGAGCAAAGAGAAGTGCCTTTGCTTCCAAACTCTTGCAATGAAACATGTGGGGACCTACATGTTCCCTTTCCATTCTATGTCAACACTTCTTGTGAGTCAATTTCAAGTGCCTTCCATCTCTCGTGCTCAAATTCCTCTGCCCTTTTGCTTAGAATTGGGGCGGTGACCTACAAAGTGTTGGAATTCTTCACAGATGGTGTGCTAGTGGACTTTCCAGGCTCATCTTCATGTAGACAGTACAATGACTTGAATTCTTTTGGAAGAAGTTTTGCAGGGAAGGAGAACTTTGGAGTGTCAGTTGACAATGTTATTGGTCTCTATGACTGTGAGGATTCTTCTCTGTGCAAAGTAGATTGTGAGACTCTTGACTTGCCTGGTTGTGATGGAAGGGGTGGAGGCTCTCTTGCATGCTGCTATCCACTCTCTGACCATTCCATATGGCATGTTGGAGAGGGGTTTTCGGTGTTTTCTCAGTTTGGATGCAGAGGGTTTTCTAGTTGGGCTGTTCTGAGAGGCTCAACTTGGGGAAAACGTGGGGTCAAGTTGGAATGGGCTCTTTCCAGGAACTCTTCTAGGGATGTTTGTGCAAGGAATGCTAACATGGCCAATGCTACAGCGATTGAAGGAGGTGTGAGATGTGTCTGTCAAAATGGATATGTTGGTGATGGTTTTGCTCATGGAACTGGATGTTTGCAGGGTGAGTAGTTCTCATCATTTTCATCATAATCATGATACAAAAGAGTATTTGTTTTGTTGACGTTACATATTTATAATCACGATGTTTGTATTTTTTTTTGAAAGAAAATGTGATGTAGGTATGGTAGATATAGAAGAGTACAAATATTTTTCTTGAAAAATTCAAGCTTCTGATTCTCATTTTTGTACATTTATATCTATAGATTGGCCCTTTTTTGCTCATAGTAAATAATTTATTTCTGGAAACCAGCAGCAGGTTTTAGAACTAGAAATAAGTATTAAATATAGTATAGCTCTTTTAGTTTCTCATATGTCTATTAAGAAAATATGAATAAGCAAATTAAAACTAGGAAAGTATATGCTTCACAGCACATGGAAGATCAGCAACTCTCTTTTCTTCAATAAATGGATTTCTAGGCTCTGAGGATATAAACTGTAGGAGTTTTGGGTACTTTCCCATTCACATTTGACATTTTCCTCTTGTTGATGTATTCATGGAAGCCTGCATAAAGGATGGAAGAGAAGCATATGGAAGTGATTGCTACATCAAAAGGCGAGATCAAAGGAAATTTGTTTTGATTGCCGGTACGTTGAACAAATTTGTAAAATTCAATTAATTTTACTTTTCTAAAGTCTCAAGGGTACCAAGTCACAAATTACAACTTCATCAACCAATAAGGCACATTGAACAAATTATGCAAAGGTCAATAAGGATTCAACATTACCATATTTATTTCCAATTCTTCACCATTTTCCTTTATCAATATAATATGGTAGTCATGTCAGTCCAGTTATACTTTGAATTCTTGTGTCAATCTAATGACATTGTTAACTCAACATGCAGGAGTCATTGGCCCAGTTCTCATTGTTGCCTCTCTGGTTGCACTATTTTATCTTCTTAAAAGGCCAACAAAACCAGGGATGTTTGACACCGAGCAGGCTTACTATCAAAACATTTCAATCCCCAAAGCTTGTAAAACTCGATTATTTAGCCTCCAAGAGCTAGAGGAAGCCACCAAAGGTTTTGAAGAGAGTCAGAAACTTATGCATGGCAATAATGGGACACTTTTTGCTGGAGTTTTAGGGGATGGATCTCGCGTAGCTGTCCACAAGTTACAATGTGAAAAGAAAGACTTGATTCAAGTCCTGTCACAGATCGAGGTTCTATCTGCTACTGTACATAGAAACATGGCTCGCCTTCTTGGATGCTGCATTGAATCTAGCAACACTCTAGCAGTTTATGAGTATCCTTCCAATGGCACTCTGGAGGAACATTTACATCAAAGCAAAGGACAACAACTTCGTTTAGATTGGTATAGGAGATTGACTATTGCTGCAGAAACAGCTAGTGTTCTTGCTTTCTTACACTACGAGAACTCTCCTCCCATATTTCACCATAACCTTAAATCTGCATGTATCTTCCTAGATGATGATTATTCTGTCAAGCTTGCAGGATTTGGTCTGGTCAACTCCAATTTTTACTATGGTTCTCACTTGCATAAGAACTATGAAGGCTATGGCTTCTACAAAAATGATGTTTACGACATGGGTTTATTGCTTCTTGAGATTATCTCAGGCTCAAATCACTTGGATTCACCAACTTTGGCCTTGCAGAAAATAAGGGCTGGAAAATTTGAAGAAATTTTTGACCCATTTCTTTGCTATCATGAACAACCACATCATCGGCAAGAACAAATGCAAATAATTGCAGATCTTGCTACAAGATGCCTGTTATTTGGTGTAGATGGAAGGCTAGGAATGATTGATGTTGTGAGGGAATTGGTGCACTTGACTAAAGAAAGTCTTGATGGAGGAATTATGAAAGGACCTGCACTGGAAGAGACATTCTCGAATTCAAGCCTTCTTCAGATGATATCAATGTCTCCTGATTCTATGAACGTCCCTTGAATGTTTCCACCCTTATCAATTCCTCCTGATTCTTCACATGATATCAAGTCAGTCCCAGAAAAGAAGATAAACAACCTTAATTTTATGTGTATGTTGTGTGTGCACTATAACCTCCCTGCCACTGTACATTGGGGAACGAATCCAATATTCTGGTTCTGACATACTTCATTAAGGTACAAAGCAAGTGTATGTGGCAGCTGCTACTAAATAAATTTAATTAACTGCCGTTGTTGATGTATGGGAATCATTTTCAGTACAAAAGGTTTTTTTGTGGGTTTATAGATGAAAATCTTCGCGACAAATGACTGCATTGTCAATGTTTAATTTATTACATATAAAAGATAGGCCGTGCAGCTCTGATTCATTTGATGATTACGTTGTTTATTTAAATAATTTCATTTTAAAATGTTAGTTAAAACGAAAAGCCGTTGAGATGCTCTGACAGTTCAATAAGTTACCTGGGTTTAAGTAATTCTAATTTCTAAGTCTCATTTCTTACAAAATTGATTTTGACAAAACATCACATGCTGATATAGCTGCAATTTCGTACTTGTCCTGTCAGGAATGTTGTAAAATGTAATCTCTCTGTTTCTCTCTCAGATCACAACCTATTAATCAAAAATTTGTCAAGCCATTACAAACGGCTATCAGTCATTCAGTGTTGAAAAAGAGGTTGCCCTTTATCAATGTTCTGATCCATGGATTTTTCCTTTCATGTGAGAAATACACCCTTATAAAATAAGCAAACTTTGAAATCCATCTTTCTAAATTTGTAGAATATTATTTATAGTCTTTATAAAATTAGCAAAATTTCTATAGAATATTTTTGTTTAATTTTTTTCTAAAATCTGAAATTATTTTTTGTCCTTCATATTTATTTTAAAGTAGTTAAATATACTATTTTGAAGGATGAAAAACAAAAAGAAAATACAAAAACTTAAAATTTGGCTAGTTTTATAGAAATTAAAAGCATATTTAAGTGAAAAAGAAAGAATAAACCCCATTTTAATCTTTGAATCTGTGAGGTTGTATCATAGTAGTCCCTAGAATTAGGAAAAAGTCAAACATTTTAATCTTTCCTACAACTTATCATTATCATGACCCCTGAATTTACTATGATTGTATTTTCTAACAGAATTAATGATAAAGACTAACATAACTAAAGAATTTCAATTTTAAAAATTTATTTAATTTCAATTTTTCTAATATGATACTGCCTCATAATTTAGGAACTATTAAGAAGGTTTACCCAAAAAATGAAACTTTGGTATCCCATATTGTGACATATGAAGCGGCGTGAAGCTGTTCTGCATCTGTCATTCATAACAAAATATCACATTCAGATTTTTTTACTATACTCAAATTCAAAGTTTCGAAGATTTCCAATGCTTATAATGACACTAATTCATGTATTTTTTTTCTACTACCACGTGCTTGATTTGCATATATTTCGAAGGTGGATGAAAAAGACATTGGAAGCAACGAAAAGCGTTTTTTCAGCACAACGTGCAAGCAATGCGTACAGGTCAAAGCATCCAAGTTAGGCATTTCTCATAATAATCAAAAATCCTAGGTTAGTACATTCATCGGAGTTCCATTACTAACTAATGAACTCATAAAACGAATGATCTATGCTATCTGTAGTTCTTTTTTCTCATTATTAGAAATCACAGTTAGCAAATTGAGTATCTATTGGTACCTATTTTTATTTTATTTTATAAATAATTTGTTATTACCTAAAAGTCGATTAACAAATTAACCTATTTAAAGTCCAATATTTTTTCATACATAAATCAAAAATTGAACATCTAACCATATAATTGATTTGCTTAACATGGGATTAATATCAAAAGGAAAAAAAAAAAAAAAAAACAGATAACGAACTTTGAAATTTGCACAAAACAAGTGGAGTGGTAAGCTACCATGTCTCCTAAAAAGGGCCGAAGATTATGCTCTAATGAATTTGACCAAGTCTCTCTTCATCCCTTGAACTCTATATAAATACATTAACTATAGCATTGCCTCCAATCTCTCTTTTCAACCTTTACTCTTTCTTTCATTAATTAATATTAAGGTTTGTTTCAAAGCTTATAATCTGCAATGCATGTCAGCCATTTATTTTCTTTGTAGCATATTTGGTTTTTTTTTTTTCCATTCATCATTTTTGCTTCTTCTATACCATGCATATCTTTAAAGATGAGTGAGAATGGTGAAGAAGCTCAAGAAAATCGTCCAGTTCCTCGTTTAAACGAAAGGATTCTCTCTTCCTTGTCAAGGAGATCAGTAGCTGCCCACCCTTGGCATGATCTTGAAATTGGTACTCTTGTTCATATTGTATTCATTTTACATTATAATAAGATTTAAATCATGATTCGAAACTAAGTTTTCATATGCAGGACCCGGTGCTCCTCAGATTTTCAATTGTGTAAGTTTTCCTCTTCTGCTTTGGAACAATACTTGTTGCCTCATTATGCATGTCATCTATTTGATGCGTAAATAAGGTTAAAATGAGGCTATTGTTTTCAACATTTCTTTTACGAGGAGTCTGCGCTGCAACCGTTGCACTAGTACAATGCACTGTAATTCCATTCTTGAGTTGCAATTTTCTAGTAAAGTAGTGTTTCTGCATGTTCAATGATTAGTTGGCTCGTGCAGGTTGTGGAGATCACTAAAGGAAGCAAGGTCAAATATGAACTTGACAAAAAGACTGGATTAATTAAGGTACAACCCAATTGCCTGATTATTGGAATGGAAGTCTCTAGTGCTGTAATTTGAAACAGATTTCACTACTGCTCTCGCTAGATGACTTTTTCCGTTACGCATCAATCTTTATGCTTTAGATTTTTCTTCTCATCATTCGAACAATGCTCAGGTTGATCGGGTTCTGTATTCATCAGTTGTTTATCCTCATAACTACGGTTTTATCCCTCGCACACTCTGTGAAGACAATGATCCAATGGATGTCTTGGTTCTCATGCAGGTTCAAATTCTTCATATATTTTATACAATAAGCATTAAATCTTCCTGTTCAAAATATTCTATACAGCAATATTGGATTATAATATTCTATACAAGAAGCCCAAGTCCTCCTAACACTAACACAGTAATGCTAGTTTTGAAAATATTTATTTAGTTACCTCTTTCATTACCTGCGAGTTAAAAGCTGCTGCTGAAATGTTGACGCATTTGGATTAAATTGATGGAAAGCAACAAACATCACTTTTGAGTCATTAGTTAATTACCCAAATCATTATTATAATCTCAGTTATTTTCACCCTTTTAAAAAAAACGAAGATTCAAAATCAACTGAAATATTGCATTTTGTTTTCTTAAATTAGTAATTAATTCCATGACTAGATGTTTTGGAGAAATCCTGAACATAGGCACAGGCACTTCATTTAAAATTAAAAGCATGTGTAATTTTGTGTGCAGACATAATAAAAATGTACTTATTTCTAAACAAAGTCTTTTAACACATGTTTACTGTTGAATGAAGTGCATACAATAGGTAATGCCTGTTTAAGAATTTCTCCATTGCTTGGTTTATATATCAACATGACAATCCATACTTACCTAACTGAATGACTGACGTTGATAGGAGCCAGTTCTTCCTGGTTGTTTTCTGCGAGCCAGGGCCATTGGAATTATGCCCATGATTGACCAGGTATCTATTGTCACCTTAGCCAATAAAATCATCCCCACTCTTTCCCCCCATTTTCCATTACACAATAACAAATGTGCTATTGACACAGGGAGAGAAAGATGATAAAATTATTGCAGTCTGTGCTGATGACCCAGAATATAAGCACTTTACCGACTATAAAGAACTTGCACCTCATCGCATCACCGAGATCCGACGCTTCTTTGAAGACTGTATCCATAACAATATTTAATTCAAGAATTTTCTGCTTATATTTCTCCTAAGTTTAGTTCATTTTTTTTTTCACAATTTGAGTGCCGTTTCTTAACACATTGCTAAGACAAAAAGAATGAGAACAAGGAGGTAGCAGTTAATGATTTTCTTCCGGCAAGCGTTGCTGTTGATGCCATCCAGCATTCAATGTAAGTATATGTCAACCTAACTTTACCGTATCGAATTTAAAATGACTTTTAAGAGGAATAGTTCTGTTCATGGTAGATAAATAACACTTCAGTAACAATCCTGTCAGATGCCTAAGATCATTCTCTGCCGTCGTTTTTTTTCCCTTCATTTTTGGTCATTCCTCTCACGTTTATTTAACTAATATTGCACTATAATGCAAGAATTTTGATTATCTTCGGTCAAATTTTGTAACACCGCCTAAAAAAAATGGCCTTTTATTGGATATGACATGTGTAGAAAGTAAAGTAACATGAATAAATATTGTAAAATCTGGAATCTTCTACGTGTTTTCACGCTACTTTAATACCTTACCCCTGATTTGGTGCAGGGATCTCTACGCGGAGTATATTTTGCACACCTTGAGGCGATAGACAAGATTATTCCCCAATCTCCATCAATCAAAATAAGCTGCAATCTAGAGTTATTTTAATACATATAAATCAACCGTATGTATACTCCACAATTTTTGTATTTAGTCGGATAATATACTTGTTTGGTTTATTGACCGTGTTTAATGATGCTTACTATCAAATGTACTTGATACGTAATGTTTCATGTAGAATCCTCGAAATTGAAGTGTTTTAACTGTATTTACCAGTTTCCAAGGCATGATTTTGCAATGTGTTTTCATCAAGGTTGATTCAACTTAATTGTAAACCTTCATTCTGGACTAGTCAAAGTAGAAAACTCTAAAGTGAAAGTGCAATATTGATTAATATACTTTTAAGGGAAAGACACTTGCACAGACTGAGTATGTTGGCAACATGGGCGATTATGAATAATGAGATCGTATTGTAATTCAATAATTTGAAAGAGCTGTTTCCAGAATACATACATACCTACAAAATAGTATAACCTAACCTCACAATAGCAGTGTCAACAAAACACCTAATTCTGGCTTTCAGGCCTCTGAAATTCTGGTCCGCAACTTATGTGCCACTATCTTGTGTCACAAAATACTGGCCATGACGAATGCCCGTAAACATTAAGGGCTCGGGTTCGTATGCCAGTAGAAAAAAGGATGAAAAAAGTGAAGTGCAAGTTGTATCTCTATGTTCGTATCGGAATCACAAATAAATGTATACATATTTTTTTAATCGTAACATCTCTAGTTTCTTACTTATTCAACCATGGATTGAGACATGGTTTGAAGTTAGAACCAGTAGATAATGCTGGGTTCAATACCTGATGCACAGGATGGTTTAAATATTTTGGCATGATAGAATGTGAACCAAATCACTCCATCTATCACGAGTATAATTTGTTTAGTAGTTCTAAGAGAAGAACAGCAGCTGAGTCTTTGGCCTTCTTGACGCTTGGCATTGGCTCCCCAATACATTCATCCGTCCATCCTCTATCAGTGGTATTGACACGCACAGCAAATGTAAACCTCTTTGCATGTGCTGGACCACCCTCATTCACACACCTACAAGTTTCAGAATAAAAAAGTAAAGCCATTTAGCTCTTGTGATCATCCATTTTTGATACTATATAGGCAACTTCGTAATTTCATACCTGTAGAATGGCATTGGCCAATTTCTTCGTAAACAGATATCATTTAATGTTTGTCTAGTAAACGTCTGGTTTCCATTCTTTTTCCCGTTTTCATCATTCTTCTCCTGAGTTTTTCCAACCTCCTTCTCTTTCAATGCAGCAAGAGCATTTCTTGCAGCTAATTTCTGTGCCATTTTTTTCTGTGGATTTTGAGCAGCCCCTACTTGCACCCCATCAATGAATACTTCAACAGTGGCCAAATTGCCTATACGACTTGCTTTATACTCTAATCCTTCAGCTTGCTGCTGACATCGCTCTTGCAGCTCACGCACAGGATGCATTGGCAGAGTCTCTGGGGTAACCATAGGATGCAAAAGAGGCTGAAAAACCTGGGAAAATTGCAAGACCAAGAATATTCTCCATCATTTCCTCTCCTTTTCCCTTAATTTTGCAAAAGAATATATGGGAGGGAATGTACTATATGCTTAAAAGCTAGGCACTAACCTTCCAAACAACAGTAGTATCCCTCCCACTGTCAAGGAAAATGGCACCGGCAATAGATTCAACAATGTCACCAAGGACCTTAGGAGCTTTGCAGTCTCCCAGACCAAAGGAGTTAAAACCTGGCTTTGACAATTCATCTTGAACTTCCTTCACAAATTCTTTAATCTGTAGATAACCGAAAGCACAATATTAGGAGGACCCCAAAAAATCACCAACTTGCTTAAAAAAAAGGAATATTAGGATAGGTCATATGATTCATCTTTGAGTAATAGCAAAAAGTCATCGGAAGGAAATAAGACCTGTTTTTCTAGGGCACTGGACCCATGCCGGAGATGCACATGAAGGTTGTGTTTAACTGCAACACGCGCAAAATTTTCATTGTTTACAGCAGCAGCCCGAAGGTCAGTCAGACGTCCAGGTGGCAGATTTGTGTAAGTGAAAAACAAATGCCTGGTAATAAGATGATCCAAGACGGCATCACCAACAAACTCTAATCGCTGATAACAGGATACTCCTGAAGATGGTCTGGAGGCATGAGTTATGGATTCTACCAGCAGCCCCCTGTCTTTAAACTTAATATTCAAAGCACCTTCTAAAGCATCAAAATCAACACTCCTAAGTATGCTGTCTGGAACATTAAAGGGCTTTCTTGAACACTCCATCTCATCGGGATCAAACTCTATTTGAATGCCAATCCATTTCATAAGGTGGTTAGCAGCATTCCTACCGCCTTCTACATAATATACCCCAATCAGCGCTTCCACAACATCTGCAAGTGTCTTACTGGACAGAACTCTGTAAGAACTTGAATCACTCTCAAGCTCACCATCTTCCATCTCATCCTCATATCCATCCGTGTGACAATCCATCTTTTCAGTCTTAGAAATGGATCGCTCTTGGTCAAACAAAGATGAGTCCCCATCCTTGGTATCCTCATCAAAGACAGGCAGAACCCCAGGAGCTGCCCATCTGGATGGGGCAAAGCGATCTGCTTGAATATATGATTGAAGCCCTTTACTTAATGCATACTGATATAATACCATGTTACTGACCATTTGTTGTCTCATCCTAGTAAGTTGACCTTCATGTTTCTGTGGGTATTTTAGGAAAAGAAATCGACTAACAACCCATTTCAGGTAAGCATCTCCAAGAAGCTCTGCCCTTTCATAACAGAATGTCTCCTGGCAAGAGGCGGCAGTCAAGGCTTCCAATATCTGTTCTCATAGAAGGCATGGGTTAACAGAAGAAACTATAACTAAAACCTAAATACCTGGAGCAGAGAAGATACCTTTAAAGACTGGACAGGAAAATTTATCATATTCTTAAGCTGAACTGCAAGTAGCATACTTTCAATCCTCCTCATTATTGAAGGTAACCTCTGGGCACCACGGACAAGTGATCCAGGCAGTGGGTGTACTAGGCATAGCTCAGGAGGAAGGAAAACATAATAAGTTTTGTCATGTGTCTCTTCAGATTCACCTTCATGTGCTACAATGAATGACATATCCCATTAAACTAGTATCTACAAATTTGCAGAGTACAATAATTCTAGGATAGGAATCATGAGAACAAACCTTCACTGTGCTCAAATCGAGGGGACAGAAGATTCTTGCAGTATGATACACCACGGCCTCTTATGAGAGGTTGCTGCTTGTAAATCAAATCAACCCCATACCTACAGCAAAGCAATAAAAAAGTACAAGTAGCCATGTGCACCCTCTGTTGTGCAAAGAAGAGACAAAAAGCTTCTCTAATCTGGAAGGAACAAGAAGTTATTGTCACTTTCCATGAAACATTGTTGATAAAGCCCTTGCAATTTAGAGGTGACAACAGAAGATTCCTTCACAGATTAAGATTAGCACCTTGCTCTTCCTGCACAACATTAGAGGTGCAATGCGGCTAACAAGTTATTGGTAAGAATTTTCAGGACATATAGAAACAGAGTAGAGAAAATGAGATAGGAGGTTTGGCTGGATGGGGAGGAAAATCCTTTCAAACAAAGAGGAAAACACTAGTAGACAATTATATTCTTAAAAAGAACGTTTATCATACTTTTGCTTGTAGTAATCAGCATATGAACTGTACTCCAGAGGACCAAGATAACCTTCTTTCCTAGGGAAAGAGTTTTCT